ACTCTAATTCTCTGACCAACCCTGTGGCCATTCTAGTTGGATCTGCCATTATTCTTCACCCTGGATCAATCCAACAGCCAAAAATATTGGCTTCCCAATGATACCTTTATCTCAATTAAAGCCCACTACTTTCTACTCAGCCACCCAGCAGTAAGGATGATTTTTATTACAAATTAAATAATGACTTTCTCTCCATCTCAAAAATCCTTCAATGATTTTATGAAACACTCAAAATCAAGCCCAAACTTTGTCTTGTCCTACACGATCTGCAATGGCTGGAGCCACCTCACACACACCTCACCACGCCTGCAGCCTTACCTCGAAGCACTGACGGCACTTTCCACTCCATTAATCCTCGTCATGTTCTGTCATTCACTGTGACATAACATCTGATTTGTAAATGTACTCCAGGGCTGGAGAGATGGCTCAGCAGTTAAAGTACTTGCCATGCAAGCATGAGGACCAGAGTTTAGCTCCCCAGAACCCATGCTGGGCACCCCAGCTGTAATTTGAGCCTTGGAAGATGAAAACAAGGGGTCCCCAGGGCAAGCTTACCAGCAAGACCATCCATATTGGCAAGCTCTGGATTTGACTGAGAGGCCCTGACTCAGTGAATGAGATGGAAGAATGATCAAAGATTATTTCTGCTATCAGCCACATGAAAACGGGAAAATGATCAGTGTACTCTAGAGCTGTCCAGGAAGAGGAGAACAAAAGTACTATACCTTCATGTTACTGAAGTTCTTTTTGTATGTATCTCGCTTCTGGAAGAGGGCAGCTGCGAACGGTGAGACTGCCAGACCCATCTGGGACATGCACTCTGTTTCTCTAAATAAGATGAGTATCTGAGGATCAAAGTTCACAAACAATTCCCCTGTGCCTGGAGCCTTCACCAGTAAAGAAGCCTCAAGGCCTACATGAATTTCTTCAATCTGCAGAAAGAAATCAGCATTATTACTCTCAGATGGTACAGTGTACAGAGTGTCTGGCTCAGTCATTCCTAACACCCAGTACTATTCACTGTTCTTCCATGGATTTGAGTTTCATAAATCTAAGGGGTCACTCACTCTATTCCTAAATTCCTTTCAGAAAATACTCTGCAGGTAAAATTGCAAAGTCAACTGAATAAGACGTTGTCATCTCTGACTGTCACGCAACAGATATAAGGACACTGCAGTAGTATAGATGCCTTTACAAGAAGCATTAGGTCCTTGCCAGCTTTATACCTACTCCACTATTTTTCCTAATAAAAGTTTCACAGTGGTTGCCTGAACAAGACCTGTGTAATGACAATACCAGCTGACATGCCAGTCTGGAGGGGGGAGTTTCACAAGGTCCCCCATTTGGATGGAGAGCTTAGGCAGTCAATCCAATGGCTGCTGAGGAAAGGAGAATCAGTTTTCTCCAGGGATGAGCTCCCATATGGATTATCCAACCCCAAGTGACCAGTCCAGAACAGATGAACATAAGGGCAACACTGAATTGACTCTGTGTGTGTGTGTGTGTGTGTGTGTGTGTGTGTGTGTATACATGTAAGAATAGCAATTAAAGAAAAAGAGGCAGGAAATTGAGAGAGAGTGGAAGGGGCATGGGTGAAGTTAGAGGGAGAAAAGGAGAGATAAAAATGACATAGAGTATTCATATGTGAAATTCTCAAAACAGTGAAATTTCTAATTATTAAGAAATTCACAAACCCTGTTAAACTCAGTTTTCAATTATCTAGAAATTCAATGATCACAGCTACAGAGCCGTCACTTTTAGCTAATCTACAAAGAAATACAAGGACTGGTCACATGTATCTTGATTAACTAGTGATACAGCCAGCCAAATAAAAACAGGATTTCTTTTAATAGGCATGCTGGTGCTTGCTAACATAGTCAAGATCTTACTGGCGTGTGTGTGTGTGTGTGTGTGTGTGTGTGTGTGTTGTGCTGAGGACAAAAATCCAAATCCAAGATCTCATGCATTCTAAGCAAATGCTGTAGCACTAAGCTATATCCCCAGCCAAGATCTTAACATTTTTTAAAGAAATTTTTAAGGAAAGAAAGAAATCCTAAGCAACAAAGTAGTGAAACTCTGCATGACTTTCTCACTTATGAGATTATAAGTTAAATAAATATGAGTTTCTGTTACCTAGCTTATGATTTTCCTCAATATTAATAATTAGTTTCTTCCATGTATATGTTATACCCTTTGATTTCTTAGATTCAACCAAATGGGTTCATAAAATATTCCTGTCAAATGGTAGGAAAAGGTTCCCTCTGGACAACAGAGACCACTTAGGAGCATCCAGTCAAAGGTTTACCTGCTGAAGCCATGCCCTATGGTAGAGAACCTCAAACTCCAGGAGGACCTTGGCTATCCTGTTGTAACTGCGGATTACAGGCTTGGCCTCAGCTGTCTTCAGCACACTGGGATGCTGCTGGAACTGATGCAGGGGCTGCTCCAGTCTGCAGAACAGCTGCCTGGCCCATAAGATCTTCCCAGCTATGGGAGGCTGGTTGCGAGCCAAGGGAGGATCATATTTCTGCTTTGAATACAGCTTAGAAATCATGTCAATGTCAGCCCCAAAGTTCTGGAAGATCACTTGGTATTTTTCCTCAATACCAAGATTAGGTATGTTCAATCTAATGGAAACACACACACACACAAAGGCAAAAAGCTTGAATTAATGGGAAAATATCTATTAATCTTATTAGTTAGCATTCGTTTAAAAACATGCTAATGCAGAAGAATGAAGTGGTTGTGTGACATACTTAAAGAACTAAAACAGCATCAATCCTTGCAAAGCAGGCAAAACTATTAACTTGGGGAGAATTTTTTCTAATTAAACATTAGGCAGTATTACTAAAGGCAGCCACTTCAGAGCTAAGAGTATTCTCAATTGGCAGAAATAAAGCAAATCCTTAATCCTTCAGGGAATTAATCTTCTTAAGCCTCAGGAAACTTAAAAACTGTGACCTTGTGGTTCAGACTGTCAAGAGAGGCTTTTCTTCACATTAGAATATGAAATTATAATAATAGTCATGATGATAATAAAAGATAAGCTACAAAAAAAGCTAAACTGTGTTCATATTATCCCAAGTTTAGAAAATGGAATTTGGAAAGTTATTTCAAATTTTTACCTTTCAAATTTCTTTAGCATACTCAGAGCTTGATTTGTGTTTTCAATCTTTTCAAATGTAGTATCCATGAACTTCTGCAATTCATGCTAAAATAGAACAGAATTTGATGGTAAACAATACATTAGCACTAGGATTTTTTTTTTTGAGACAGGTTTTGCTATGTTCTGTAGGTTAGACTCAAATTCACAACCCTCCTGCAGCCACCTCCCAAGTGCTGAGATTACAAGTTTGTGCCACCACATCAAGAAACAGTGAGAAACAGGAGGGAATTCATGCATGGTGCTGTAATACATAGCCAAATACACATGGTTGGAGAAATCATTAAAAGAAAAAAGGAAGCCAGGTATGGTGGCACATATCTTTAATACCAGGACTCCTGGAGGTAGAGACAGGCAGATCACTGTGAGTTCAAGGCCAGCTGGTTTACATAGTGAGTTCCAGCCAGCTAGGGCTACAAGGAGACCCTGTCTCATTTTTACCTTTCAAATTTCTTTAGCATACTCAGAGCTTGATTTGTGTTTTCCATCTTTTCAAATGTAGTATCCATGAACTTCTGCAATTCATGCTAAAATAGAGCAGAATTTGATGGTGAACAATACATTAGCACTAGGATTTTTTTTTTTTTTTGAGACAGGTTTTGCTATGTTCTGTAGGTTAGACTCAAATTCACAACCCTCCTGCAGCCACCTCCCAAGTGCTGAGATTACAAGTTTGTGCCACCACATCAAGAAACAGTGAGAAACAGGAGGGAATTCATGCATGGTGCTGTAATACATAGCCAAATACACATGGTTGGAGAAATCATTAAAAGAAAAAAGGAAGCCAGGTATGGTGGCACATATCTTTAATACCAGGACTCCTGGAGGTAGAGACAGGCAGATCACTGTGAGTTAAATATAATTGACATATGTTCTCCCTCATATGTGGATCCTAGGATCAGACTCTGATAAATAAGTATGCAAACAGACATAACTGCAGGAACCAGGACAAGGGTAAGGAAACAGTGAGGTAAAGGAAAAGAAATAACCTGAAGGAGAATAGTAGGTAACAGGCCTTAATAAGGGTGATATCGATAAAAAATGGGTTAGAATAAGGGAAGGGGGAGGGAAGGAGGGAAGGAAGAATTTCACAATAGAAGAGAGAACCCCATTCCTTACAAGAACCTATAACTGGTGACAAAATGTAACAGAAAGTTAGTGAATTTAAAAGGACAATGAAATATCCAAAAGCCACAAATAAACAGATCTGAAAGCCAGCAGAATATTTTCTAAAATGCTTTTATTTATTTATTTATTTATTTATTTATTTATTTTTATTGAGACAGGGTCTTCCTGTAGCCCCAGCTGTCCTGGAACTCACTATGTAGACCAGGCTGGCCTTGAACTCACAGAGATCTGCCTGCCTCTGCCTCCTGAGTACTGGGATTAAAGGTGTGCGCCACCACGCCCAGCTTAAAATGCTTTTTATAGGTTGTCCTGAGAACCTCATATATCTCATATTATTATACAATTTTCTCATGTATATTTTTACTGAATTTTTGTGCATTTCATTCAAAACATCTTAATCATTTTTGTACCCCTTTCCCCATCCGGACCCCCCCATATCCCACCCTATCAGATTTCATGCACTCTGTCATATATGTTAAGGCCTGTCAAGTCAAGTTAGTGTACCCAGACATCCCTCAGTGCAAGTTCATCCACTGGGGTCTAGGCAGCCAATCTAGAGTCACTCCCTTAAAGATTAGCTCTTCCTCGCCTGACAGTAATCAACTGCCAATAGTTCATCTAAGGTTGGAGCCTGCTGCCCAGTTTCCCCAGTTCTGTGCTGAGTTTTTGTCTGCTTGCATTTTCATGAGTCTCGTGCATGCTGACCTCACTGCTGTAGGTTCATATAGGCAAAGTCCCAAGGAGTCTGTAAGATTCTGTTTCCATATGGTTGTATGTCTCCTCCTCTGGCTCTTACAATTTTTCCACCTTCTTTTGCACCCAAAAAAATAAACCAAAAATAAGCGTACTTTGTTCTTTACTCATTCTAAGATTCAGTTCAGAGTTATAATTTAAATATAAATTTAACATGCTTCAAGGTACAGCCCTAATCAATTCTTTTTGCTCAGTACACCACACTAAAGCTTGGGACCTCTACAAATTCAAAGAAAGCATTAATTGATGAAGTATAAAAATAAGGAAACTAGTTTGATGAGGCAATAAGGATTAGTATCAAAATGGGCTGAATTTGAGACAATTAAGTCAGAAGTGATTGGCAAGACAAGCAGTTGACAAGATCCAGGCACCCTGGAAATAACCAGTACCTGAAGACAGAGCTGCTGGGGCATACTGCTGAGCTCCCTATCCCAAGGCCCGAGGCCCTGCAGATGAGAAGTCTCTTGGCTGTCACAATGTGTTCTTGTCCCCAGTACTTCTCCTGACTGCCATTCAAAGTATGCATTTCCTCCATATGTTATTTTTTTCTGTAAAGGTGCCATCTAGGGTCAGGAAATTTTCTTACAACAAAGAATAACTCAGTTTTCTATCTAAACAAACACCTAAATTTTCTTCACTACGTGAAATAGCTATGCATGAACTATACAAACTAGAGCATTTAAGGCCCTTCCACTTCTGCTGTGACAGACTTGGGCCTTTCCTGAGCCCCAATGGGTGCCTAGTTCTCCCTGCGGGTTCCACAGAGCTTTGATTAAGTTTTCTGTGAACACCCAAGACCTTGAATCAGTATTCTTCGGTCTTTAAGCTGTAGATTTATTCCAAAACAAGTATGAAGATCCCATGGTCTTTTGGGGGTGCTATTGAACTTCTTCTCTTTCTACTAAGTACATGGTCTCAGCTCCCCGTTTTATTTTCCTTTAGTTGAGCTTGTCACCTTAGCGGTGTGTCTTTTTACTAAATAGCATGTTCCCCTCACCTGATGGAATCACCCAGCTCCTATCCAACAGCCCACCCGTGCAGTTTCAATACACTGCCCCTCTTGAGACTGTTAGTACCAGCATGGACATAGGTCAGGACAGGCTCACAAACTCGTCCCCTTGCCAGCAGAGCTCTCCATACAATTCTGATCCCCACCATTCTGGGACCCCTGAGGCCCCACCTCTTTTCACTTGAGCATCTTCCCTATGCCTGGGATGCATCATACCCATGGACCCCATCCAGAACCTTGGGAATGCAGGTGTTTTGGCTCCAGTGTTATAGATATAAGGGCTGAAATCATGACAGTATGTTTACTTCAAGGAAAGATGTAAAATGATTAGCAAAGGGAAAGAGAATAAAGAAAGGAATATAGAAGTTAAACAGGGGCTGGAGAGATGGCTCAGCATTTAAGAACACTGGTTGTTCTTGCAGAAGACCTGGGTTCGAATCCCAGTACCCACATGGCAGCTACCAACTGTCTGTAACTCCAGTCCCACGGGATCCGACAGCCTCTTCTGACCTCCGCGGGCATTGCACAACACAGGCGTACTTTACCTACATACAGGCAATACACACATATACATAAAATAAAAAAAGTAAATAAATAAAAACTAAGTTAAACAGAAACTTATCAGCAAACCAAATTCAAAATTGGACCATTTTTGAGATAAAGATGAGCCAAATATATGTTAAACTTCAGAGAAAAAAGATAGTGAAGAATAGGAACTAATGTATATAACCAATGCTTTAAAACAAGTTTCAGAACATTTGCAAAATCCCACTCTTGGTATTCTAAGAAGGCACAGCCTTCCTTGCTTATTTATTCCCACTCCATTTGCTGGGAAATCACAAGCATCTTCCTGCCATCAGTCACAGCCAGCCTCCTTTCTGAAGGAGTTCTTAGCCCCAGCCAAGTAAAAGATAGGGTTATTTTCTCCTAGGTTCACATCCTGTTTTATGAGGTTTGGCAATGATCAGAGTCTATGCATGCTTTAAAAGCCTGTCTTCTCTAGAAGTTCCTATAGGACTCTGCCTTTCTACAGAATCAGAATATCACTCATTTATAACTAGTCACTTCTACCCCCACCATTTTTGATGTTATGTTTATCTTTCTCTTTTGATGCTGTATTCATTCCTCTGTCCTAACTAAACACGGATTCACATTTCAATGATATTGCTGATTTCTCTCTGACTGTGAGTTTTGAAAGCAAATCTGCTTCAAGAGTGAATTTTTTTCTCCATCTACAACCCACAGCACAGCAGCCTAATACAACAGTGCTACACAGTAAATGATTGCCTCATTGGACTATATCTTCTACATCTTCTTATTATCAAATTGAAACAACATGCTCCCTGCCTTCAAGATGTTCACCATCTATCTCCATCTACAAGAAGCTCCTGAAGACATGTGATCTGAGCCTCTGATTAAGTACACAGACAAGGCTTGACCAATGGATATTGGCCAGTGAACACAGAATCAAGATCCACCATTACACACCAATTTCCAACTACAATACTCAGGATCCACTCTCCCTACATGTAAATCAGCCCCCAAATAGGTTAAATTACAGTGGAGCACCACAATGACTCAGATCTTGAATTCTGGGGCCAGACCCCCTGGGTTTGATCCCCTACTTTGCCACTTACTATTGGCCTGACTTGGACAGGTGACTCAACCTCACTCTTCTTCTCCTTTGAAAAATGAAAGTAATAAGAATGCTCACTTTCTAGGGTTATTGTGATTATTAAACTAAGTTATAGAAATAAACTACATAGAAAGATGCCTGATACTTTCTTGTACTTCCTACCATCTTGAACGTACTCCCCCCAAACCACCCCTCAGGATTTTCCCTTTATGTGTACAAATTTAGTTCAAACCATAAATTCTGGAAAAGACGTAGTAGAATGGACATTTTACTCTTTTATTTTGGAGGCGAGGTGTGTGTGTATATTGTATGTGTGCATGTGTATGTGTATGCAGGTATATTCATGTACATGTAGGTACATGTATATATAAAGGTGCATGCGTGCGCAGTGCACACATTCATGTGGAGCACAGCTTGTAGTGTCATTCTTCAGTCACTATGTTTTTTGCTTGAGACAGGATTTCTAAGTGGCTTAGAACTCAAAAAGAGTAAGCTAACCAGCCTAGCAAGCCCCAGAAATCTACCCGTCTTCACCTCTCCTCTGCTGAGATTACAACTTTGTGACACCACACTAAGGCTTTTGGTTTTAAGAGGTTTTTGTTGTTGTTTTGTTTTGTTTTGATTTTGATTTTTACATAGGTTCTGGGGATTAACCTGAGGGGCTGCTTTATAGTACTTTACAGACAGAGCTCTCTACCCAGTCCCATTTCATTCTCATGAAGAAAGATGTACAACTGTATCTCCTTGGGTTGAAAGAATTCTGCACATGAATTATGTCAGACAGCTACCAAGTTGTCTTCCCATCTTTCCTTCCCTGACTCTCCTTTTCTAATAACAAAGATTCCCTACCACCCCTAGGGAGTTCTAGCCATCCTTTATTTACCACACAACCCCACAACTGATAAGCTCTAGACTATGCACCCTACCATCTAGAGCTGTCACCCAAACCATTGCTCAGGAGCCTGGAGCTGGGCTGCTTCTGTGATGTTGAAAATGGCTTTAAGTCAGGATAGATGGTCTTCAGTGAGTAAAGAGGAATAGAAAGAAAGGGACTTTGAGACAAAAAGAGACCCGGGCACCACAGTTTCTAAGTCAGCTGCAACCCTGCCTTTGGGATCTACCAGTCATAGCTGCTGGTCTGCCTAGGTTACCTCTGATTATAATCATTATAGTAACAAATGGAAACAAATGCCCCATTCTAATAAAGCTATGCAGCATTCCACGAGACTATGAAAGTTAACTTCCTAAGAACTAAGATGGAAGATGCACAGAAGCCTGTGATTACAAATCATTATCCAAAGCTATATTTATGACCCTTTAATCCAGGCAAAGGAGTTCTCAATTATTCATCTAAATCACAGAATGCAGGCTGAGGTTGCTGTCGGTCACCTCTGTGATGAAGATGCCTCTCCCTGCTGAATGGATAATGATTAGCAGCATTGTACAGAAAGGACAAAACAAGTGTGTGACTGTCCACAAGAATTTTAATACTCCACCTACATGAAGGTTATTAGTCTGCTTGCAAAACTCTTCATAATCCTGGTCAAAGTCCATTTTCCGTTGATCTAAGAAATTATATTCCTTTTTCTTTATGGTTGCAACAATGCCCTGAAATGATATAAAAGAAATAAGGCAATATTTCATTTTTAATATTTAATTACTTCTATCCTTAAATGCAGAACTTATAAAATGATTCCCCAAACAATCTGCTTCAAAGAAACTTTTTTTTCTAATTTTCACATTGCTTGGTGGTAATTACTTTACGTGCAATAAAATTCTGCTGTTCTTCATTCGAAGGAATCATTTAGGAAGCATTGTCACATGGCTTTATACATTTTGGGGAAAATATATACAATTCAAATCACATCTAAAGAAATGCATGCATTTTCTCAAAAGTTTCATTTATTAATCACATTTGAAAATCATTCAAAAAGAATCCCAGTGTAGAAATAACTAAAATATTCTTTTGTTGAAAAGCTTAAATAATCTCAATGACTAGATAAGACTTTAACAGAATACACACAGGATAGGAGGAAAACTACGGTGCTAGAAGACGCACAGAAGAGATCCTGCGTCCCACACCTCAAATATTTTAAATAAAATGTCAAACCACAGTCTGCCACTTTAAAACTCTGTAGAATTAATTGCTTCCTGCTGTCCTGCAAAGCTACAGTCTGTGACTATCAAAGTACAAATTAGGCAATTCATCTCCTTGAAAATGCTATTATCAGAAGTTTTGTTTGCTCTGAATGATGAGGTTTAAAGCTTTGTGATCATTCTTAACCAGGTACTAAGCCATTCTCAAACTCAGAGCCCCACACTGTTGACAGAGGCATATAATTTTCATGAAGAATATTGGTCTCCTTCCACAACTCCTCTTCAAAGTCATTTCTTCTTAAGCATCATTCAAATCTCTTACTAGACAAAAATATATGACCTGTATAACTTCTAGAATCAAGTTTACTAGTTAAAACAACCTACTTTTTCACACTGTCTTCACGTGTATAGGACTAGTTATATTTGGATATTGTACACCAAAGTGTAGTATATAAATGTCTAATAGAACTATGGAGAAGCTACATTAATCTTAGTGTAATGATTTTTTAAATATTTGAAGACCAGAGGAAACCACATACTGATTGAATATGATTTTGGTCACTTAATAGTATTAAGTTAAATAAATGAAACTTTTAACAACTAACCAAGCTCAATCTGTTCAATCACCTATTTGACACATAGTCATTGTGCACCTATCAGATGCTAGCAAATTTGAAGATACAGAAATGAATAGAGGAGAGCAGACGTGTCTCTGCCCTCAGCTAGCTCCACACCTGGGAGAAAGAGATTAAAATATATGTACTTCTCAAAAATATAAAAGTGGTCATTTCAGACCATGATGAAGTGGGTAGTGCAGCCAGAGAAGTGAAACAAAAGTTGAGGAAACCTTACTGTAAGAGTTGTTTCATCAAGATCTAGAGGCCAAAGAGAGAACAATCATGTGACGATCCAGGGGGTTGGAGGGAGAAGGATCTGTAGATCCTTGGTGAACTGCTAGTTATCCTGGATGAAGACTCTCCACAGTAGAGAAGAGAGGTGGAGGAGAGGGTGGAAAGTGTATTATGCATTATATTAGTAAGTTGCTTTGAGCTATTTCAGCTCACTGAGAAGCTGGCTCTGGAGGTGGGGTTGCCTCTCTCTCTCTCTCTCTCTCTCTCTCTCTCTCTCTCTCTCTCCATACTTCAGTGCCAAGCACATTTATCTTAGAGTGTCCTACAAGACCCCCCTATTTAAGGATCATATACGCCCCAACCCATCCCTGGCCCTCTGAGAAGAGGAAATGAGAGCAGAAAGCCACCGAACATTAAAAATACCATGTCCTTGAGAACAGAAGAAGAAGTTGTTAGTAAAAAATTGTGCCCTGAACACTGCTGGGAGGGAAGTCCAGGAAACTTTCCAAAGCAGAGGACTCAGCTACTGTTTATCCCATGATATAAAAAACAAAAAAGCCTGTGGTGAGAACCACTGATTGACTGGAAGTCTCACCCAGGAGAAAACGTTCTACTGGGACCCCCTTTGTTCATCAGATGCTCCAACTGACTGGTCCCCCCAGCTTGCCCCCGCGGGCTTATGCTAGATGGTGTTTCTGAGCTGCTGCTCTACTTTCTTTCTGCTACTTGCTATTTTATTCTTTTATTCCTGCTTGCTGTACACTTCATAAACTCTCTTCTTCAAAACCAAAAGCATAGCTGTGGTGGATCATTCTTTGTGCAAAACAGAAGGGCAGGCAGGACCCTGTCAGTCAGTCCTACCATCCTGTGTGTCCATCTTCATCAGCATTTCACTTTAAATTTTCAAAGCAGTCTCCCAGCATTTTATCAGGTCAGAAGGGACTTAGGTTCACTCAGCTTCTCATTCAAAAGTAAGCTTTAGAAAAGTCATTCTTCATTAAAAATAGAAAATAATCCGTAAGATTCCAGACCAGAAAAATAAGTAAATGAATGTATTCTCACTTTGTCTTGAAAAACTGTCACTTTCAAAGCATGGCTCATCCCCTTTCCAATGGCATGTGAAATCTGCTGTGTACATTTCCTGCTATGAAAATCTTTTCCTTTTCTCTCTCAAACCATTATGTACTCCAGAAATGGAACAGACTTCTTACACTGGCCTAAACAAAAGTTACGTGTGGCAAGTTATATGGTCCTATTCAAGTTCAAGTAGATAAAGAATAATTCAAGTTGTAGTGTCACTGTCCTGAAATAAGAAAAAATGATTCTGTCCATATTAAAACCTCAACACTGTTTGTAAATTGTTTTTTGTTGGTTTGTGTTTTTAAGGAAATATTTTTTGAAAATTGTCTTTTAAAAAAAAATCTTCAAAACATTATCAAATCATTGTGCCCACTTTCAAAACTAAAATTCATCACAAGAAAAGAAAAATCAAAATAATTAGGAATGTCAGAGCTATAAAAAAATCTGGTTCCATTTTATTATTATTAATTATTATTATCACTAGCTGTTGCTGTTGTGTGAGAGAGAATGGTGTGTGTGTATGTATGTGTGTGTGTCTGTGTGTGTGTGTGTGTGCGTGCACAGCCTGTATATGGTACTCAGAGGACAACTTTTGGGAATTGGTTCTTTCACTGTGGGTTCCGAGGATCTAACTCAGGTTGTCAGGCTTCCACAGACTGCACTTTTACCTACTAAGTCATCTCACTGGCTCTGGTTCTTTTTACTTTTGATGTATATCCAAATAGAATGTTTAAGTGCACAGATAATTAAATTTCACTCAAAAGTTGGTGTCAAATAATGCCTAACATACAGCATGTTCTTCAATGAACCATTTCCCATGTGTAAATACAATGAATTATATATTTAAATACTTCTCATTTGCCACTAATGAAAATGCTTTTTCTTAAAGATGATTAATTTTAAACTACTGGGAAGTCATTCTTATAACCATACACATAAAAACCATTACACAATTCTCAAGTAAATCTAATTTCCATATAATTAAAGAATCCAAAGACTACATTTTATATTATGGATTGATGATTTGAATCATTCTAAATACCACTGTTTGCATAAAAATATCAAGTTTATCTATAGGCAATGGTATATAATATTATTTAAAAGTATAATACCTGGTATTTAGTGACCATGTCTTCCAACCCCTCTATATTAGACTCTTGTAGAACTGAATATGTCTTGAAGGTTGTAAAGATGTCCATTATCTTGGCAAGACGTCGATGGAAAGTTTCAAATTTTCCAAAAATATACATCTCACTAAATTCAAATTGTTTTTCACTTGGATTTTGCTTAAGTTTTTGTTTTGTCTTGTGAAAGCAGTGCTGGTATTCCTTGAAATCAAAGTTAAGAGTATAAGGAAAGAAGTTCGCAGATGGAGGGGAGGCTCAGAGGTGGGACACTTGTCCAACATGCACAAAACCCTGGATTCAAGCCAGAGGGAGGGAGGGAGGGGAGGGGAGGGAGAGAGGGAGGGAAGGGAGGGAGGGACGGAGGGAGGGAAGAAGGCAGGAAGGAAGGAAGGAAGGAAGGAAGGAAGGAAGGAAGGAAGGAAGGAATCTTTTCTTCTTAAGTGAAATTGGCAGCATAATTAGACTGAAAATGTGAAAATGCCAGTCTTTTCACAGTTTTATTTCTTTGCATTTACTTATCCAACAGCCTGAACTATTATTTCTCCCCATTTTCTAACCCATCAAACTCCTTATTATTCATGATGCAACTCAAACCTGTGCCCTGTCCCCTCTTGGTTCCACTGTTTCAGTAATAGTATCACTTGTCTCTATCTCTGAGCTGGTCTATACGATGCTTGAAGAACACTATCTGATCTTAATCATCATTGTATCTCAGAACTTGGTGTGTTACGAGGATATAGTGGTGCCCTAACCAAGGTAGAATAAATGGATACATTTTCTTGAAATGTTTATCAACATTCTATTTTCTTAACAGTAAAGAATTGTTTTTTAGGGGCTAGAGAGATGGCTCAGCAGTTAAGAGCACTGGTTATTCTTGCAGAGGATCCAGGTTCCATTTCCAGCACCCACATGGCAGCTAATAACTGTCTATAACTCCAGTTTCAAGAGAATCCAACACCCTCTTCTGACATCCGTGGGCATTGCATGACATGGGTGCACTTACATACATGCAGGGAACATACTCATACACATAAAATAAAAATAATAAATAAAATATTTTTCAAATAAATAAATATAAAATATTTTTTTAAAAAAGAGAAGAAATACTATTGTGTTTAGCGACCAAAAATATAATTGCCAAATGATTTAATATGGTCTCAGAAAATACTATATAAAACAAGACATGTAAACATATTACTAAGTTAACCATTACCTGCTTAAGTTTAATTGCAGATAATATTTTCTCCATAACAGCATCCTGAGGCTGGTTCCAAATGGTAGAAGTGCCATTGTTAGTGATGTGTGCTTTACATGCAGATATCATCTGATTTGTCACCTGGAATTTTTCCAATAAAGTAACGTTAGGTTCATAAAACTGCCATGGATTATAAATTGGGACAGAGTTCTTGAGTCTTCGTCTTCCTCTTAGAATTCACATCTGTGTCCTTTATCTTTGAATTTCTTTTTCCCATCACAACTGTGATCAAGGTCTGGCTCTTTAATATTGTCAAAATAATCTGTGAACTTGCCAGGCAAGATGTGCCTCCCATCTGTTATGGAGAGTAACCAACTGATATCTGATTGGATCTGTGGGTGACCTGTTCCTTAGAACAGAGCTCATGCCTCCTACTGAAGACTTGGTCAAAGGCCCATGACTGGGGAGGCCATAGGCATCAGGGATGAGCTTACTACTTTTGTTTTGCTAAATGGACATGTTTTCAAACTGTCTCCTAAATAATTATGTTTATACCTATAGACTACTGTTGTCCTCAGCCCTAATCAAAAAACTTTCTCATCACAATGAATAATAGCTAATGCAGTCCCATGGCTGTTCAGAGCACTGAGAACAAGTGACTGCTGAATGCTCAGTCTTAAGTGGGACACCCATATCGCCTCCTCAAAGGCTCAGAGAACATCATGGAAGAGGGGGTAGAAAGACTGTAACAGACAGATGAAGGGGAAAAGGGCCATGAAATGCCACCTTAAGGGCATGTGTTACTCATGAATACAGCAACTGCAGTTGCCTTCATGACCTCAAGACTGAGTCCACAAGCTGACTATGAGTTCAGTCATAGATCGGAGAGAAGTTCGTGGAGCCACACCCCACCCAGGAGACCTATTGGCCATCTCAGGCTGATGGGGGAGAAGTCGTTTTTTATACCCATAGTCTACCCATAGACTACCCATGATTCATAGGACATTCATGCTTCAGTGGATAGAGCCTTACTCCTGCCTACATGGGAGGCCCTGGTTAACCTGAGTGGGTCACAAAGCAAAAGCCAAAACAAAACAAAAAGACATGAAAGCAGGATCAGGATTTGGTGACAGGATGAGGGATTTGTAGAAGTGGAAGGAAGGTAACAGGATGAGGGACGGTGTGACCACAATGACTTCTATACATGGATGAAATTGCCAAGGAATAATTTCAAAATGATCTATGTAATCAGAGTTAGAAGCTCCATGAAAAATCAACCATGGGGCTGCCTTGTTTATGCAAAATGAAGATCTCCCCAACCAAAGGATTGGCTCCCCTGCTAACAGTTGCTAGGGTCCCCTGATGTCTGCAGTGCCCTGCTCTAATGTCCTCTCACAGCTGACTAGCACAATGTTGAGAGCAGTGTACCTTGAAAGTTGTGTCACCATTACCTACAGTGAAAATGTAAGAAAAAAAAAATCAGATAAGCCCTGGTAAACCTAACCTATGAAACCACTAACATTTGATTCATCCTTCCAACTTAAAAACCAAAAGTTTCTTTATTGCTTTTAAAAGAAAGCAAAAGCATTGTTAAATGATTGTACAACATACCAGGGATGATATGGTTCAGGGTTAGAAGGGAGGGTGTAGACAACACAATGCTGGTGATGTGCTGCTATCTGTTGAATCCAGGGGTGTGTGCAAGGGGTTCAGTATAGAATTTCCTCTTGTACTACTTCAAAACTTCTATAACAAAAGATTTCTGATAATTGGTCGCTTCATAAGGTCATACAAATAATGTGCATTAAATGTCAATACAAATAGACTTTTGAACCTCATTTACCCAGGGACTATTCCCTCTGGCTCTAACATATAGTTTTAAAGTATGAAGAAGTTGAGAAAGAATCTTGCAAACATCTCTCCTTTCTACTTCAACCACCAGAAGAAGCAGAGGAAGGTTTCCTGTCCGAGTCCTAAGATTGGCTGTCTCTATTCCCAGGAAAAATTATGCTTCAAGCTTCGTGAGTATTCAGAACAGAAAGCACTGATGAGTCGAAACGTCTTCCACCCTCAAGCAGCACTGAAAATTTTGGCACTGATAATGAAAAAGCCATTTCTTTAAAAGACTGCTGAAAAAGAAGTATTTGCAGGGGTGCCCACCATAAACACCTGTAAGTCAGCTCCGGAGGTTGAAACATAAGTATCGTTTGGAGTAGAAACATTTTAATTACTTTACTGATTACTGAAATGTTGCAAGTGGCTTTTGTTACCAAGATAACGGTTCTAGCCACGCCAACTAAACAAGCATGGCACCAAAAAAATTGGGACAATGGCATGAAAGATAAAAGAAAGAAGGCAGGTAAATTCAGTTTTCCTGTGTTCTTGTTTGGGGTTCAGTGGGAAAAGGGGCTTTTGTTTTCTTTGGTTTTCGATAAATTTTTTTTTTTTTTTGGATTTGGTTTGGTTTGGTTTGGTTTGGTTTGGAGATTTTTTTTTAGTTTGTTTGCTTAATTGGTTGGTTTTTGAAATAGGATCTCTGTGTGTAGCCCAGGTTGGCCTAGAACTCACTATGTATTCCAGGATGGCCTGGAACTCACAGCAATCCTCCTGCCTCAGACTCTGAAGTGCTAGAACAAGCTTAATACCATTTTTCTTAATTTAAATTTACCTAGTAGTAAATGATGGCAGGCTAAATCCCACAGGGAAATTCTAGAAAGAATCTTACCTGAAAACTTGGCCATAGGCAGAGGGCTGTGATCAGCAGCTCCACCCTGTACACTCACCTTCACAAACAGAGACGTGATCTTCTCGGAGGTGTTGTAGTAGTGAGAGATACTGTAGATCATTTTAATAGCATTTATCAGTGTAGGAATAGCATCAATCATAGATATCTGGAAGATATCACAAAAGATTCGGGGGGAAAATGTCAAATTCAGCAAAATTCTGAGTATGAAAGTATAACCATTCTAGGGTCTGGGGAGATGGCTCAGAGGTTAAGAGCACTGATTGCTCTTCCAGGGGACCCAGGTTTGATTCCCGGCATCCACATGGTAGCTAACAACTGTTCATAACTCCAGTTCCAAGGGATCTGACACCCTCTTGTGGCCTCTGCAGGGCACTGCACATGGTGCGCTTCCATACATGGAGGCAAAACAATCATACACATAAAATAAAAATAAAGTATTAAAAAAAGAAAGCATAATCATTCTGTTTTCATTAGACTAAAGTTTATCAAAAATATTAACATTCTACCTAGTGATTTATACGAATACATTTTACAATAAGATTTTTATTTATTATTTTTATTTTATGTGTATGAGTGTATTGCCTAACAGTGTGTAAGTGCATCCATGTCATGGAGGTCAGAAGAAAGCATCAAGTCCGCTGGAACTGGCATTATGGATGGTTGTTATCTGCCAAGTGGGTGCTGGGAATCAAACTCAGGTTCTCTGCAAGAGCAGTCGGTACTCTTAACTGCCGAGCCATCTCTCCAGCTGCAACTTTTATTATTTTTGTAATATATAGTGAATCACAATTTATTTCAATACAAGAAACATTAACTTGCTATTAATGACAAGTAGGATGTTCTAACAGTTGGTTTTATAATATATAAATGTAGACATTTCCTAAAGATAATAGAATTTTTAGCACCAGTTAATAACTCTCCTCATAGTTCTTTGGGGTACAGTTCAGAATGTCTACCGCACTGTTTAATAGAAAATATAGGGGCTAAAGAGATGACTCAGCAGTTAAGAGTACCAGAATCCAACTGGCCAGCTCACAACCACCCATAGCTCTAGCTCCAGACACACACATAGACATACAGTTTAAAAAGTTAAAAATGATAAAATAAGCCGGGCATGGTGGTGCATGCCTTTAATCCCAGCACTCAGGAGGCAGAGGCAGGCAGATCTCTGTGAGTTCAAGTCCAGCCTGGTCTACATAGTGAGTTCTAGGGCAGGCATTGTGCAGTGTGTGTGCACCTACCTACATGAAGGCAATACATTCATACAATAATAATAATTAATAATAATAATAATGATAGTAGTAGTAGTAGTAGTAGTAGCAGTAGTAAAATAAATCATTTTTAGAAGAACGGGTGATGAAAGATATTTTTGAAATACATTTTAAGAGCTGAAAAGGTGCCTCGGCAGTTAAGTGCACTGGCTGCTTTTCCAGAGGACCCTGATTCACTTCCCAGCACCCATACTGCAACTAATAGCCATCTATAACTCTTGTTTGAGGGATCCTATGCCCTCGTCTGACCTCTTGGGTTTGCACACGTGGGTGCACTTACATACAGGTAAAACACTCATACACATAAAATTAAATTATATTTTAATTTTCAAAAATTGAAATACATTTTTAAAAAATATTCAACAGTGAAGATAGATATACAGATAATAGATGATTGATTGATTGATGATAGATAGATATATAGATGATAGATTGATGATAGATACTGGGTAAATGGATGGATGGATGGATGGATGGATGGATGGATGACTAGCCAGGTAGAGAGAGACAGATAGAAAGCTAGATGATAGACTGATAGGTAAGGACATAAAATACAAGAAAGCATGCCTTTAATAACAGCACTTGGGAGAGAGAGACAGGCAGATCTCTGTGATTTAAAGGCCAGCTAGTTCTTCATAGCAAGTTCCAAGTCAGCCAGGGCTACGCAGAGACCCTGACTCAAAAAATTAATGCACACAAAGATATGTTTATGTATTTTCTTGAAATTAAGAAAGAAATTTCTAAAATTATTCTAACAAACTCAAATCTATGAGCCAGAACTCAGTATTCCATACTTCTGGTATGAAAATACCACCAATAGGCTACAGGGTATAAATCCTTAACTCACAGGGTCACGGCTGTACAAAGGGTCACAGCATTTCTCAAGTGTGTACAAATATTTGACATTGTCCTTTGCTTCATTAGCGGCATCAGTAATCCGAATATCCGTCTCCCGCCAAGTCTAAGCACAACACAGGAAAACAATTTTAACATAATTACTCACAGAGAAACTTCCAAAATAAGAACTAATAAGAGTCACCGCATGTTCCCCTGAGTCATGTTCGCCATTCGTTCAATATGAATCCTGCACAAAGTGAAATCCCAAAAGGACCCTGAAGAGCAGTTTTCAATTTAACTAAATGTTCACAGCCATGTCCTTTCGACTCTCCTTTGCAAACTCTCCTCTAGCTAGACAGACCACCAAGAGGGCTCCTGTAATGCCACATCTTCACCCCTCTGTGACTTCTGGATCCCCTTTGTACCTCATTCTCTTACTTTTCATTGCTCCGTATTATAACCCGAGTTCCCTTCCCCCATATCTCTACACTTTCATTCATTGATTAATTTCACAAATTTTTATTTACCGACTGTCAGGACTAAGAACTTCAAACTAGAACAATATCTAAAAATAGAAGAGGACTGTGGTTTAGCTCAAGTGAATACAATGAGCTGGCCTTATGTAAGTCCTACTGATAGTATTTTTGAACCATATTGCATGGCGTCACAGTATATGAAGTCACTCTATCTAAAGCATATAATTTGAAAAATTATTATTTGAATGGGCTGAAAGAAATAGCAACTAATAGCCTTCCCCGCACCAAAGCCAGGTAAGTCAGGCATCCTTTAACATATTCCCCAGTAAATACCAACCTTTTTGAACCCTGCTCTGTGTTGTCTTTTCCCCTTGATCACAGGCTAAATATATGATACTCCCAGGATTAGCTTTAAAAGACCATGGCTTCTATACTGGGCACTCTTGTACTCTCTCACTTGCTCTTTTTAAAGGAAGCCAGGAACCTCATCAGCTGCCCTGTGGAGGGGCGCATGTGTAAGATCTGAAGGACGCCTCTGGCCAACAGCCAACAAAGAGCTGAATCCTGCAACCCTGGTATGAGCAAACATGGAAGAAGACCTTCTTCATGAGAACCTTTAGATGAGACAACAATCCAGCTGCAGCCTCTGGAGAAACCTTGCAGAAGCACCTAGCTAAGCTCCGCCCTAATTCTTGACCCACAAACTGAAGTAAAGATACTGGATTTTTCAGCTGCTAAATTTCAAGATAATTTGCTTTGCAGTATAAAACTAATATATGAAGACAAAAAAAGTTTTCATGATTACTGCATCTAGAGTGTC